ATCATACGAAATCTACATACAGCGCAAGTACTTTGCAGGCAAAGTCTGACTCCCTATTGTGACCAATACCACGCAACTCGATTCAGCAAACCTCAAAGGAACAGAGTCGCGACTCGGTTTGTCCTGGATGTCAAGCTGCCATCCTGCCAACGTGGCTACTGTGTCTCATGCATGAACTTCGGAAAGTCTACATAAATTTGCAAACCCGCGGGATACCAGCTAGATCAACCCCAAAGCCCTTTCCGAACACTGGGAAATAAGATCAACTATATAATGTTCACTCTCTGATGAGTTTTGCCATACGAGCACATTTTTGTTCAATAGATTTTTACCTGGAGTTTTCATGGTATCTTCTCTGTTTATGGCTTCAAAGTGTGACAAAGTTGAACTTCTAAGGCGAAACAATCTGGGATCTACCGCTTGAGACAGTAGTTGGAATGGGCTGAAAAACATGCGAAGGAACAACTCTGTCTGCACTTTTCGACATGAACAGCAATGTCAAGATCGGATTATTAAACCACTAAGGATTAATCAACCCCGCACAAGAAAAATGTTTGGGCAATACTAAGATAGGTTGGTCCCCCCTGATTAATATACCGGGGGGTGCCCCCAATTAATCAACCCCACAGAAAAAAATGTTTGACACATGCAGTCACATGCTTTGAACACCACTCCTTTCAAGTCTCACACAGAGCTTTGATTCTGACAAACCTCGGACAGAGATTCCTCCACAAGGTTCTGTTGGCCCAACACAAACTACAATCATACGGGCTGAGTAACTGATTACTTTGTTGCATTGGCACCAGCCTTTTTGTGACTTTGCAATGACAGGCTCGGTCTTGCAGTCTTGGTTCAAACCAAATTCTTGGCTAAATTTAAAAAATGAAAATGATTACCCAAATGATCAATTTCTTTATTAAAATCCATTTAAAAAACATCACTTTGAGAAGCTTGTGTAGGGTACCCCTCATGAGCCCATGTCCACAAAAAAATAATAGGCAGGGTTTCCCCTAATTATAGTAATCAACCCCGGGCCCCTTTAGATTTCTTTTTGGTTCAAAGGAACATCAAGTTAAAGTAGATTGATATCAATTGAAATAGTACATTGATATCAATTGAAGTCCTTTCTATTTTTTTAGATTTCTTTTCGGTTTTTAAAAGGAAAATCAATTGAAAGTAGATTGATATCCATTGGAAGTTGATCTCTTATGACTTCAACTTAGGAGGTCGATTATTTAGGGCAAAAACCTTAGCAGAACCTTCTCCCTAGGTACCTACCTTTCGGGGGGGGAGGTTTATTAGTCCGGACTTGCCATTACTGAACATCTATCATGCCAGTGAGGCTGTCAGTCAGACTGCCAGTCAGACACTTACTCTGCGCTAACCTTGAAGCCCAGCCTCCAGGAACGTCTTTTCCAACGCATTGCCACCTAGACAAACGCCGAACGCCATCCGGGCAAGAAATTCAAGCACAGGGTGGGGCATGGTCTCTCCAAACCAAACAGCTCTGACCTTCAAGCAAAAGTAGGCGGGTGATGGATGTACGTGTCGTTAATCAAAAAGTATAGAAAAGTTGGGAACAGCTCCGAGTGATTCGGTCAATTGATCTGGCATTGATCTGCCGAGCTGCCAGAGATGATCGCCTTAGGCATTTCAATCGAATGTTGGAATATCAAACAATTTCGAAGATTTATCAATTCATGACCATGTTGTATGATGTTGTATGACTCCATCCTCGTGTGCCTCTCAGGAGTTCCTCTTTGGCTCGTTAAAAAACACGCGTCCTGTTTGTGGTCTTGTTTGTCCAAATACCGTTGCCAGTCATTGGACGTCGATACATCTGTTCCCTGCGTCCCTGACATTATGCCCACTTTGAAGTTTCTGACCTCAGCTGCTGAGTGACCTGGACTCAATCTAACCAAGGTAAGCTTCTGCCAAGCTAATATATCTGGTACAAGAGCATAAATGTATAAATGCTGCATCTACTACTGGCCATTGCAAGACTAATCTCTATGCGAACAGCACACACACACTGTCTCATACTCCAGTTGCGGGCTTGAGGTCTCAACTACATGCTGGGTCCAGGTCCCAAATCGTCAGGTTCTTTTGTGGAGACCTTGGGCTGTCTACGCAAATAGCCCTGCTCCAACCTGCAATCTTGTGCCTATCCCATCCTATACCTATAGTGACATCCAAGCACCTGTCTTTGAACCAGCATACTCAAATTTTGGATGTCCAAATCAGCATTTTGAAATTTGTCCCGAGGACCGAGTCGTTCATTATTCCTCCATTCCCGAGATTCTATGCTGTGTCCCTTGTCATTGTGATCTCAGCCTCACACAAGCATTTGAACAGTTTCTCCGCATCATGCTTGTAGCCCAAGGATGAGCACACCTCCAAAAAATATTTCTTCAACTGAACTTATGCTATGTATCGTCTGCAAATGTGCATGCGTGTGTATGTGTATGTACTATGTATACATATATATATATACATATATATATACATATATATATATACATATATATATACATATATATATATATACGTATATATGAATATGAATATATATATATATATATATATGAATTATATGAATATATGTGTATATATGCATGAATGCATGCATTGCATTACATGTCCTTTCATTCCAATTTACATACATGCCTATGTGTACCAATCATATGTATATGCTAGCGCCCTCAAAAAAACTACCTGCTGCCACCTTGTAGCCACTAACCTGGGACATGAATTGTTTTGACATGTATTTGTTTTCCTAAGGTTTTAGTAACTTGCAAAACAGATAGGAAATACAGTAATTGAAACGAAACGTATGCAAACAAGGTTCACACATGCGTTCGGCACTTGTTCTTCAAACAATGAAATATTGGTTGAGAAAAGTCTGGTCTCACTTTGTGTATTTACGTATTTAAAGCAAGTGTAGTTCTTCAAGATATCTTCAACATGTGAAGCACCTATTCGAAACAGGGTAGACCATTCCGTTGTAAGAATATATATATAATATGGCACAGTTTCAACACGGTCAAAGAGTGCAGCATATCTGCAAAAGAAGTGCAATATTGTTCTTTACAAAGATCTTCAACATGTGCGAACATTATCATTTTAACCAGAGGTAGACCATTCCGTTGTATTAATATAGGGCTATTCCAACTACCACAGTGCAGCTTATTTTTCAAAGGAGCGCAGTCTTACGTTCGAAGAAATCTGTAACATATGCAACATTTGTTTCATACAAGGTAGATCACTAATTACGTTGCATCAATATCAAAACAGAATCTCTCATATCGAGTACCTTATTTTGAAAGCAGTATGGTCCTCCTTGACTAGCATGTGGTTAAAGTGTTTACAGCATTGACTTGCAAAGGGTGCAGAATCTGTTTGGGAAGAGGGCAACATCCTTGTAGGGCAATGGCGCAGTGATTCAAAACAGAATCCTTTTCTGTATCCAACGTTCCTTTGAAAGAGTATGCAATTTCTTTGAGAATGTGTGGTACACATGGAATCTTCCCTTCAACATGAGTACTGTGAAAAAAACATGATTAAAAAGAGTGCAATATCCCTTTCAGGAATGACGTATTTCCGTTCAAGAAGCAGCAGGTGCCCCTTGACAAAAAGGAAGGCTGAACTGCTTCAAAAGTATACTGTACTACGTTTTTTAAGAAAAGGAGTGCATATGTCGCAGGAATCCTGCTTACCTGTATGGACAAGGATAATGTGCTGTATGATATAAGGGAAGATTGCAGTCTGTAAGCAAAAAAAACTAGGAATGCCACATGTGTGATTTGGATACTACATTTTGTGACAGGAATTCAAGATATCAAAAGTGCACCCCATATTCTGTACAAGTACCGGCCCCAAAACCTACCTGTTGTTTCATTATGTACTGTGTTATTTTACAGTGTTTACGACAAAATTTGAATAGGTCTTTAATAGTCATTTTTTGTCATGTACATTGGTCAGGGAGGGGAGTATGTACATGGCATATATACATACACATATGTATATGATCTGCACCCTTAATAATACTAACTTTCTCCTTCAGTAATTCCAACATATATAATATTATATAACATAAACTTAAACCTAAATATATATATATATTGAAAAATAAACAATGAAGAAATTTGAGGGAAAACAAAAACAAACAGAATCCCTGCAGAGAGCAGGGTCTTGAAGTTTGGCTTCGAGCCATGGCGTGCGGTGGACCTCTAGAGATGAGGGTCAAATTATGGAGAAAACCACTGCAAACATGGTCGAATCCCATGTCGGACATGTCGGGATGAGCTTCGCTTAGGGATGTCTAGGCATGGGGTCTGCAGTTTTGTTTTGTTTGCTTTGCTGGTTTTCTCGAGGTTTTTCGCAATTTTGCTGTGGTCAAACTTTGTTGGGAGTAGCTTGACTTGGGGATGTCCATACATTGGGTCTGCAGTGTACTTCAAGTGTGTGTTTTTTCTCGAGGTTATTTTACAATGTTGATTCCATCACAGGGTTTGCAGCTGTGTCTTTATCTCTTTTGATACTAAATAGAATGCAATGCATTCCTCTATCATGGCAAGTCGACTCCTACAGAACATCCAGCTACTACACAAATTACATGTATGTAAACATTACATACATGGTAGCCATTATGCATATATATATATATACGCATATATAAATGTGTGTACATATGTATGTATGTACATATGGCACCACCCCTGATTCTAATAAATAGTCTTTCACACATAGTCCAAAAATCAATTCCTAACATGCTCACGAAATTACAAATATCATTAAGTTAATCTGAAAGTTAGGTTTTAGGCGAACCATAACTGTATATACGTGTATAATATAATATAATATATATATACACATTGTATATACAGACATATTGCATTATTACTTATTATATACATTCCATTCCATGCCATTGCAAGGCATTCATTGCATTACTTTGCATTACTTTGCAGTACATTACATTACATTACATTGCATGATGTGTGCATGCATGTCGTGTCTAGGCATAAAATACATGCATGACTGTATGACATACATATCCTGCAATTCTGGCATCATCATCTGGAGGATATGGGCAAAGAAGTGCAAAGAAACTGTCACATTCTACTGTATCAAGATCGCAAAGCGCTGTCTGGAGAGTCTAGAGGACGCGCTTGGACATGTCAGGACATGCTAAGACATGCGTCACTGACGAAAGTGAGCCATATTGAGAATCAGAGGCAAAAGCTGTTGAGAACTCTTGTGTCTGCTTTGTCCCACGTGTCGTCTAGGACCTCCACCACCTCTTCCTTCGAGACACTCCCATGCGGCGGATCTTGATGAAACCCGTCCTGTGACAATGCCATCGATGTAAAGGCATCTTCTGCTAATGCGAGTAATGATATGATCGTGATTTATAATGAATTATATAGACATGCTTCGGCGTGTGCTGGAGCATCAGGCTTAAAATCAAAAGCCTCAACGACTCCGCAACATGTCACAGGTTTGAATATGCGATTTCCCTTGAACAACTAACCCTGCGCTTTCACTGAATCGTTTCTAGGAGTGGCGAGCTCGGGCGTCCTTCCATGCTATATCCAGAGTCCCAAAGCGGTCGCCAAGCAAGGACAAGAAATCAGAGACCTCTGAGGAATGAAAACTGGTCTTTCTAGGGCAGAGGCATCTGAGAATCTTCGACAAGACCCGCGCCAATAAGTCAGCTTCTGGATCAATGTCACCCAAGCAAACAAAGCCTGAAACATCATACAGCGATACACAGCACGTCACAGAAACACAGCAAGACTGTCAGGCACCATCAGGTAGGGAAGCACTGAAGTCTGTTGTCTTGCAAGGTTTTGCTGCTTACCAAATCCTTGTAGTGTCACTTGACACCATACCAATCAGGCCAGTCAAGTTCATGATTCAAGGTGCACCTTTTTGCTGCTTGTCATAGTCCCTGAAGAGAGACTTGAAGTCGCCAGCATATCCAAGACCTTGGATTTGAGCTCGATGTTTTCTCCTCTCCACAGCATGTTGCTAAGTAGGAAGTAGTGTGGTTGAGGGAGTAGTCATCGGCCTTTGCGAAGGTGTCCTGACTGAACCTGTCATGCGCCTAGAGGAAGGTTCCATTGAGACCAATTGCGCGCTGCTAGCTATGTTCTTCATTGTTCTTCTGGATAGGGATGAGTTAGGTAACGGTATGTCGGGCCGTCTGTGACATTCTATGACCTGCCACAGGCTCAGCATCTGGCGGCGCAAGGCTTCGCAAAATTCACCAAAACTTAGCCTCAAGCACGAACAAGTGACCCGAAGAAAACAACAAGCTATACTACACCGTATACATTCAATTATCTCAAGGCAATGAAGGCTGTAGGGGGAGATTCATGGAGATTCTGCATGATTCAGCTATTGCAACGGGCACTCAACGGAATTTTGTCTCTTCACGGCTCGCATGGTCTCTGGTCAATTGGGAAGGACTCGAATTAGTTCCTTCCCAAGAGCCGCTTTCTGAGACACACTCCAGTCATTGCTTTGGGTAGGTTTCACCACACAATGTCTGGCTGAGACAAACGGAATCCAGACCCCATGTTCGGGGAGAATCAGATGAGAACGACGACATCCAGAAAATGCTTTAGCATTGGCAAGTTCTACTTCCTGCTTAACAGCATCGAAGCATCAAATGTTCTACCTTAGGTAGAAAGCAGCGGCTCAAGGCAAAAAGGGCTAAGTTATCTAAGTTGCATCCCAAATCTGGACAGTCTTAGGATATTGCAGTTGATTGCAGCCTTCACCACAAACTATCACTCATAACCTATTTGATCTATTTGGTCGACTACACCCAGAGCAACACACTCTGGCATCTCCACGTTGAGAAAAGGAAAAGAAAGGGAGTCCGGTTGCAAGTGTTTCAAGAGACAGAGCAAAAGCTGTTCTCCCAGCAGCCATGTTGTTTGAATGGGGGCACACCTGACTTCTGCAGGTCCTCGTATAAAATACGTTTCGATATATGGCTTTGATTGCTTGATTCTCGTTCCCACAGTGTGTGCAACAGTGGTAAATCGTGTGGCAAGTCTGCACAGCCAGATTCTCAAACCGAGACTTCCATCAAACATATTATGCAAACAATTGTTTCAAGGAAAGAATAAGTGCAAAAGCATTTTGACCGACTGGCCTCAAAAACCTGCGGAACAAATGAATAATAATGAATCCTTTCGCAACATAAAGTATTGAAATGATTTGAATTGTATTGCATGACTTTTCGATCGGGCACTTTTCAGGTTTGGCTTGGCACGTGTCACGAAGCCCAAGAGCCCGAGACTCTAGACATCTCTAGACATTTGCTGAGTGGCTCGAATCCAGTGCACCACGAGGGCAACCCTAAGGCAAAGAGACATGAGGCACCCACAGAGATTGTGGTTCCTACCACAAAGAGCAGGTCTGGCACGAAATCCTGTAGCAATATGGAAGACCTAGGTAGACACGATCAGAAACGCATAGAAACAACACGGCAATGACCAAGTTTGAATGGAAAAAGGTTGTTGGAGTCACTTAAAGTATCTTAAAGTCGTCAAAAGAAGTGTTCTTTTTGCTTGAAAGGTCCGACTTCAAGACCTGTCAGGCTTCAAACATAAAGGCGTCAAGTTCGGCCAAGATACATGATGCAAGTGAGAATGATAGAGAGGGCAGTGCTGAAACAGCCATGCGTGGCCCCGGCATACTTCAACATCACTGCACATAACAGTCCACCAAAGGCATTCATCGCAATGACCAACAATACGCGCTTGTTGTATCCTGTTATCTCAGATCAAAGAAAATGCGAGGCAATGCTTTGCCAGGTTTCCAACTGTCTCGTTTCTTTTCTCCAGAAAGCTTACATGTGGGAAGAGTTGCAACACGTCAAACATTGACTTTCTTCGACCCAACAGCTCATGCCCTAGTTGCAACACTAGTCTACAAGGAGGCAAACATCACATCAGTCCTCACGTCGGACCTGATGAATTGTGGTCTCTTTGACAACGCCACTAGGCTGCACAGACAAGTGTCCTGCATGAAAGCCTTTTGCAGAAATGAGCTGACCATCTTGCAAAACCTGCAAGTTGAGCCGGCTGTCGGCATCTTACAGAGTTCAAGATAGTTCAAACATGCTCAAAGAGTCAAAGAGGTTTGGAATTATGTGTCTTCGAGTAATCATGACTGCTTCGCATGGCCTCGATCCAGGTCTTTTTCCGCAAGTGATGACTTGATTGAGGAGAAGAAACGCGTGCGGTTGTTCTTATTTCTGGTGCTTTCGTACTTGGTACTTTTGGCTATTGTGGCTGCTGTCAATTACGTCCTCCTTGTTGTTTGTTCTCTTTGTTTGTTGTTTCGACAGTTTGTTGCTGCGGCACATGCTGGCGATGGTAGTCGTGGAAAACTTTGAACTTCTCACACTGCCCTTTGACGAATTCAACAAGGGTGCTTCCATGCGGGCGATACGTACAATTTGATGAACGCAGTAGAATCATGTATGCCATGAGGGCACAGCAAGCACGGTGTGTGAAGTGATTCTTCTTCGAAGTTTGGAAGGAAAAAGGAGAATGTTCATCGTATGAGCTGCCAAATTACATTCCCAACGTTGCATGTTTGGTGGTTTCTCGGCTTCTCGGCACCATGCCAACATGTGGGACCCCATACCCCAACATGCACTCCTTCTGTGCACCTTTCCCACCGCTCACCTCTGTTTCCTTTCCCACCCCTTCCATTCCCTTGGTGCCCTCGTGCTATTCTTGTGATTTTTTGTGCCTTGCCTTGGTGGTTTTCTCTCGCATCAATTGTGACCATTCCCTTCGCAAAAAGGACTTTGGCGGTGATCATGTCTTTGGCTTTCCAACTTGCCAGTTAGCCGGTCCATCTAGAACACTAAGGCACTAAGGATCCTGAATGCTGAGGAATACAAATGCATCACCACAACAGAACCTAAAGCTCAAACCATTACAGTAAACACTCCTAACTCCTAACACACTCACATTTGTTCTTGTAATGGTTGGCAACTTCCACGTTTCACACTTGAAACTAACCCCTGATGAAAATCATCCTGAGGCAGAATCCTCTAATGTCATCTTTAATGTCAAATGCGATCAAATTCTGGACAAACTCGATTTACAGTAACTTTCTGCTCAAGAATTCCTCGCATTTCTTGATGCGACTCAGGCACTGCCACGAACAGTCCAGTGAAGGAGCCAAACAGGCCCAGCTGCACATTTCGCATCCAAATCTGGCAGACTTGCTTCACTTCCAAAGTTGGGCACCATGCGGGGGTAAACTACAAGCGAATTCGCTGCTGACTCACATAGACAATCTTAGGAATATGTCCAGTCCCCAAAGAGTATGGAGTATGCACATTATGCTGCATCCAAAAAAACAAGTTTTCCTGCGAGTGAATTTTCCAACCATTTGGGACATCTTGGACCTTCGGAGCGGTGTGAAACTACTCTGATTCTCATTCTGGGCACACCTGTCTCACAACGAGAATTCATTGTACTCCTTGCCGATAAGACCCGCACCTGGAGCCTCCGTAGTTTATACAGTAACACTCAATGTTTGAATCTGGTGAATCCAAACTGAGTCCACCAGTATAGATTCGACAAGAGACGGAAGAGCTGGTCTGCTGCAGCATCTTCTGGATCCACACGCCAGCAAAGCCACTGGTGAAGCACGCCAGTATAACGGCACCAAATCCTTTCCAAAAAAAAACATACATCCCAAGCAATATTGAACGCATATACATACATACACACATACACACATACACATACACACATACACACATACACACATACACACATATACACATACACACATACACACATACACACATACAGTACACACATACACACATACACACATACAGTACACACATACAGCACACACATACAGTACACACATACACACATACACACATACAGTACACACATACACACATACACACATACACACATACACACATACACACATACATTACATAAATAAATACATACATACATACATACGTGCATACATACATTACATTACATTACATTACACTACACTACATTACATTACACTACATTACATTACATAACATACTTACATACATACATCAATACATCAAAACATCCGTACATCAAAACATCCGTACATCAATACATCAATACAACAATATATGAATATATCAATACATCAATACATGGATACATCAATACATAGATACATTACATCACGTCACATCACATTGCATTACATTACATGAAAATACTTTACGTTTCATTCCATGACATGACGTGCAAACGTGCAAACATGCATACATGCAAACATGCATACATGCAAACATGCATGCGTACATACATGCGTACGTACGTACTTGCGTGCATGCATGCATGCAAGCATGCATACAGACAGTACACCCATACATCCATACTTCCATTCGTCCATACATCCATACATACATTACATCCATACATCCTTACACACCATACATACATTACATTAAATTAAGTTGCGTTACATTGGGTTACGTTACACTACGTTGCTGTACATCACATGGCATTACATACAAAACACAATTTACAATCATTTGAAAAAATGCGTTACGTCACACTACATTGCATGACTTTACACTACACTACATTACATTACATTGCATTACGTTAGATTACATTTCTTTGTATTGCATTACATGCAGTATGTGCATTTCGTTTCATACATTACATACCTTAAATACATTACATGTATTACATGCCTTACATACATTAGATACATTACATACAATAAATAAAAATTTCGAACATACATAAATACATACATACATACATACGTACGTACGTACATACGTACATACGTACATACGTACATTACCTACATACGTACATTACCTACATACGTACATTACTTACATTACTTACATACGTACATTACCTACATACATTACCTACAAGCGCACATTACCTACATATGTACATTCATACATTCATACATACATTCATACATACATACATACATACATTTGTACATACACACATACATACACACATACATACATACATACATACATACATACAGCACAGCACAGCACAGCACAGCACAGCACAGCACATTACATTACATTACATACATACATGCATACATACATACATTACATACATTACATACATTACATACATTACATACATTGCATACATTACATACATTACATACATTACATACATTACATACATTACATACATTACATACATTACATACATTACATACATTACATACATTACATACATTACATACATTACATACATTACATACATTACATACATTACATACATTACGTACATTACGTACATTACGTACATTACATACATTACATACATTACATACATTAAATACATTACATACATTACATACATTACATACATTACATACATTACATACATTACATAACATAACATAACATAACAATACATAACATAACATAACATAACCATACATACATACATACATACATACATACACACACACAGACATACATACATACATACATACATACAATACATACATACAATACATACATGACATACACACATACATACATTTCATACATTAATTACGTACATTATGTACATTACGTACTGTACATTACGTACATTACGTACATTACATGCATTACATGCATTACATACGGACCATACATACACACCTACCGACCGACCGACCGACCGACCGACTGACCGACCGACCGACCGACCGACGTACGTACATACATACATACATACATACATGCATACATACATACATTTATTCTTACAATAATACAGCAATACAGTAATACAATAATACAGACAATGATCCAGACAATGATACAGGCAATAATACAGACAGTAATACAGTAGTACAGGAATACAGCACTACAGTAATACAGTAATACAAAAATACAATACATACACACATACTGTTACCATACCATTCCATACCAGACCAGACCAGATCATACCATACCATGCCATACGATACCATACCTTACATCCATCCTTCCATCCATCCGTCCATCCATGTTTGCATCCATACATACATTTTTACATGCAATACATATTTACATATGTACATATGTACACACAGACATGGTCACGTAAAGTATTTGCATATACCGTATATGCATACATGCATGCATGCAAAAATAGAAACATACAAAACTGCCTACAGTAAATTTAAATACATCAATACATATATATATATATATTTACATACATACATACATACATACATATATATATATACATAAATAAACAAATATATATATATATGTATATATATATATATCAACATAGACATACAAATATACTTCAAGACATATGTACACATCTAAAGAATGCTGTTCAGATAAGGATCCTTTCATCTGGTCATTTTCCAAGGACTCCAGAAAGTGAATGTCCAAGACAAAGTCCGACTTGGAAAGCTGCGCGTTTCTGCTGACCTGGTATGGGGATGGAAGAGTGGTTCCCGTCAGTCAAAACAGGAGGGACTGCGGGCTCACAAACCCAATGAATTTTGTTGCCACTGGTTGGATATGTCCGTTTATTCACATCTTACATAGGTGTTGCATTCGAAATCATTGCAAGCATTCCCACCACACCTCCTGCAAACCACAATGTACTTTCTAGGTCTTCCGGTAGGTTCCCCAATTTGCCCTTTGTTGAAGAAATTCCGTGTTTCCAGACATGAATTTAGCAATTTGTCTGCAAATACCTGCCTGTAAATGTGCACGCATATGCTTGCAAAAACATACATAAACATATATATATCTATATGAAACTACATACATGACATATATATATATAAATGAAACTACATACATGATATACAAAGAATACATGTTACGTGTACATAGGGTTTATTCAAAAGAAATACATACAAATAGAAACATAGGAATGTAATTACATTGTATTACAGATATTTGTATTTGACTTAATAATATTATTGAACTATTGAAATGATCGGAAACTGGTAAAGTTGCAGTAAATAGAATGTAAACGTTCAATTTTTTACAAAATGAAAACCATTTATCAAACATAAAGAAACCTCATCCGATTTCAAACATATGCAACTCCAAATGTAAACGCCCACTGAAAATCTTTAAAAAGAATGTGCTCATTTTTGTTCCATATGCGGTTTAAAGAGTCCAAGGGGTATATAATATATATTAATTATGAACCTGTTTTGATATATGATATCTAGTCTATATATATATATATGGTCTATTTAGCATTGTATAGAACAGTTTATCCCAAACATCATATCTCATATGTCTTTCATGTGTGTCATACAAACGTAAATATGTAATGTTTTCGAAATACTTTACATATATTGTACAACTCGTATTCATGCTGTCTTGAAAATATTGTATATTATATATATATATATTGCGTGTGAAATCTATGAATACAAATATGTTAAGAACAACCATAAATAAATTTCTCGCACCTGATCGTACACTATGTATACAATGTGCGTAAATGCATGTGGAACAAATGCGCATATACAATATATGTTTTGGAAATATCAAACATATAGATGTGAAATGTGAAATCTATACATCTGGCAACCTCCCCTGTGATATTCCCCTCCACTCTCGCATCGGCGTGGCCCGGCTACGTGTGAAGATCTCATATGCCAGACTTGCATGCTGGCGGCGTACCACCAATGCACTACCTTCATGGTACCTTCACGCCCCCGCCATCCCACAGCCGGGGCGTGGAAGCAAGCTACATCCTACCTACAGCAGCCTACTACTGCCTAAAATATCGTTAGAGAGATCGCTTCGACCTACTGCATGAGCCGCCGCCGACTCCGCAGCATCATTGGCCACCTGGCGGTGATGTCTCCGGTCCCACAGGGAGGTTACCAGGTGTTCTAAGTGGCTACGAACTTCGTGGACAAACTCCAAAAAATCATGCATGAACTCGACCTGAATCTAGCGAGAAGAAATGAAGACGGAAGTTCGAGGTGAAAATTTGGACGACGCGGAAACCACAATGCCACATGATGAAAACCGGGGTTGACTTCTCCGCATTGCCACAGACAAGGCTCTGTGACCCCGCTGGATATGTTAAGCCAAGCACTGGCGACAAAGGATATAAGACCGATAGCACGAGCAGATGCATTGGAGAGCGTCCATTGCCTGGTATTGTCAATGTCAAGGCATTTGAAGGCTGCAAAATGGTCGCACAAATCTGCTTTGGTCTCTTGAGCTTCGTGTCTCGCACTGTCGAGAAATTGAGAGAACTGGTAATATCTCTCAGCGTTGCGACGGATGTGACTGATGAAGCCCCTGTCAGACTTAATTCCGAACAGGAGTTGACAGGTTAAGTTTGAAGTCGCATGATGGGTTAAGATCCAAGGACGAGAGGCTTCACGAAGAGCTTGACGAAGCAGCCGCACAGAACTGCCAACCGGGCCATTCCAGCCAGAAAGAGATCGGTTGGTAGAACTGGCAACAGGACCCAGAAGATGTTTGACAGAAAGAATTTCCAGGAGCCAAACCTGGAGTGCCGCTATACCATCGAAAAGTCCGATGGTCAGCACCCGGTGCTCTTGGCGCAGTTCTGGTAGCTGTCCCGTAATCTGCCACGCGCTGCCAGGCTGCCAGCCCGGCTTAGCGCGACAGAGGCACAAACTCCGCCCCCGCTTGACGACGCATCGCTGCAGGTCACCTGCTCGCTGGACGGCAACCTGAAGTCCAGGCGTGCCAAAGGGATCAACGCCACACACCGCATCAGTTCTAGTCTGCATTGGTCTGGTAGGCTCAAATGGTGCGCCCACTTCCGATCAAAATCTTGAATGACCTGCCATACCGCGTTGAGGCATCCTGGGAGCTGACGGCGGAACATTGCATAGACAAGACCTAGGTATTTCAGAAGCTTGGGCTCCCGGGTACACGCCACTCACAGTTTGCCATCCACCTGAGCCCCTTGCACCTCAGCCAGGGGACTCCGCCCCGCTGCTTTCTTTGTGTTCCGAGGGACACCCCAAACCTCGTATTCTTGGCGTAGCGTAGCGCCAGCACACCAGGCGCGACCGCACCGCTATGTCGCCAGTGTCCACCGCCTTCACCTTTTCAAGCAGGTCGTAGTTGTCAAGATACATCCGCCAAGATGGGTTGGCCACCGTGACGGGTCTATCTTTTCTGACTTCACCTTCAGGAGCCGCCACCGGCTCCCGAGGCCCTGATGCATGCTCGCTACTCCACAAAGCCAAGTTGCGGTGTGCATACTGGGCCAGGCTAACGGAATTGGCGAATCCATGGGCAAGACACGGGACGCCAGACATACCTCATCACCCTTGAGGTGTGCAGGAAGGCATTGATCTGGGACGCGTCGATTGAAGGCCAAGAACTTCCACCAGTCCGACGGGACGGACATGGTGTAGAAAAAACACCGCACCTCCTCACTGCTCACCAGCAGCGTTTCGTCAGGCTGGATGAAGTCCGGCGTCATGAGGCTCCACATGGGTGGCATCTCCACGTCGCCTGTGATCGGCTCCATGATGCCGTTCAGCGGTGTGAGATTCATGATGAGGCGGAGCACCTCATGGGGGCCAGCCCGCTCATCTTGTGTCACACCAAAAAACCCATTCAGAAGCTCCCACCTGGAAGATTTTTTCGGCTCGCAGGTATACACAAGCCCCTGCGTCTGCTGGTCCTTGGCAAACTTCGGGCCAAGCCTCCACCGGCACCATGATCCCGTGGCAGAGCGGGAGCAATATTGCTCCAGGCAATCCCCTGGTCTCCCTTATAACCCCTCTAGTGGAGGAGAGAAACTGGTCCCAGTCAAAAAGATCGAACGTACCTGAGAGCTGGCCTACTCTCTGGACGTCTTCAACAAAACACCCTAAACATACCTTTGCAGCCTCTGAAACCTTCCCCTCGCACAAAAGCTCTCCTCCCCAGAGAGAGTTCAAGCTGATACAAACACTGGACAACCATGCGGCCTCAAAAGTAGAAAGGTTAGGGAAACAGTTCAACAGGGAGCTATTAGAGGTAGGTAGGGGAAACAAAGTCATCTCTGCTTTCCTACCCATGGTCTGGCCGCGGAGTGGTGAAACCTCCAACAGCCACTGCTGGACTTTACGTCCCATTTCAACCACGGTCGATCCAACGAGATCACACAAACTTTTTTCCTTACCTCGAAAAAACGGTAAAAAAGGTTCCCATGGACACTGTGGCCTTGGTTCAAAAGAGGGCGGCCCTGGCCTTCAAAATTGGCCGGGTCACCCAGTGCGAGTTGTGGCACCTCGTCTGGAGAAAACATCACCTGGGTGCTGGCATTTGCTGAGCCAGATGCACCTCCAATGGTGGCACGGGAGTGACAGCCTCTCTCCCGGATCTCTTCCTCTAGGAGCATCACATTCGGCAGGCAATTGCTTGGTCTCCTCTGTCTGGTCCTCGCCATGTAATCTATTCATTTCCTCTCGCCGCCCTTTCCTTTGTCTCGCCTCTGGTCCTCCTTCTTGTCGTCTCTGCCCGGGGCATCCTTGTCGAACTTTCCTTTGCCTTTCCCTTTCGGGACACCCTTGACTCCTGTGCTCTGGCACTGCCACTTGGCTTTGCCATCCATGGCCCAACTGGTGCCATTCAGCACGGCCTCCTGAGCTTTCATCCTTTGGCAAAGGATGTTGACCGCTGAGGCCGGCCGCCCTTTTGAGTAAGGCACCCATGGCGGTTGCTAAGGTCAACAGTTCCCTTGTCGCTTTCCTCCCTAGCACGATCCTGTAATACAGGAGTGCCACCGGGGTCGTTCTTCAGATCTCCGTCCTCTCCCGCTGTGGTCAGGAGGTTCTTCAACGTCTCCATTGCTAGGGCGCCGGGGTATTTCTCCGCCAAAGCTTTTGCCTTCGTCTCTTTGCGTATACCGGGTCTAACGCTGTCCCTGCATAGAGCTGGCTCAGTTCCTTCTGAACTGCCCGGCCAGCATGACGCTCGCTCAGGAGCTCCTCGTTCTTGTCCTTGGACTTCTTTTTCTTTTTCTTCTTCTTCTCTTCTTCCGTCGTCTCCTTTGACTCCTCCGACTCCTTCTTCTTCTTCTGCTCCTTTCGCGCCTCCTTGGCGTTTCTTGCGTCTCTTTCCGTCAGGAGCTCCCGCTCCCTCCTCCGTAACTCCTCCAACTCGTCTCTTCCTTCGTCTCGTGGGGGCTCCAGACTGCGAATCCAGCCCTCTTCCTCCTTTTCTTTTCCCTTTCGCCCTCGCACAGCGTGGAGATAGTAGCCCTGCAGCCCGCACCCCCGCGGGCAGATGTGGACGCAAAAGGGCTGACTCCTCTTCGTGGTCGGTCCCAGTGAGCCGTAGACGAAGAGGGCGTCCTTGTCCACCTCTACTTTCTGAATGCCTCCGGCTACCTTGACCCGGGCCCCAAAGTACAAGGATGATCCAACCTGGAGTTGATGGAGAGAGACCTCCTAGCCTCGGTCCCACGGCTGTCGCCCTCTCCTCGCATGGCGGGTCTCTGTCGGGCTGGTCTCAAAGGAGCTCCCCCTGCTCCCGGTGCTGCTGCAGGCCGCCTTCCCACGGCCATGGCCCTTGGCCTTACCAGCGCCTTTCCTTTCGCTTTTCCATCCCTTCTGCCACTTTGCGGCTCGCCTTTCCTCAGTCTTTTCCTTTGTGAATTCCCTGGCTCTTTCTCTCTTCTTGTCTCCTTTCGTTCCTCGATCCCTCGGCGCGGGCCATTGTTGCGGCCGCCGGGGTAGAGGCGCTCGCCCCTCGCTGTCTTCGCCGTCGTCTCCTGGATCAGCCCTCCCAGCCCGTCGCTCAGGAGTTCTCGGGCGCTTCAACCCGGAACGGTCTCGCCCTCTGTTCTCCTCGGCTTCTTTGTTGATGTTTTGGGCGCCGGGTACAGCCCCAGGCCCCTGTTCTCTGCACCGTCCTCCCCTTTGTCCTCTGTCCTCCTCCGGTCTTCTTCTTCTCCTCGGCTTTTCTTGGCTCCAGGAGCTGCTGTCCCTGCTCCCGTCTGCTCTTCTTCTCGTTGTCTTTTGTCGCCTTCTTCTTCTCGGTCACAACCTCTTCCTCACTTGATTCCTCGTAGTCACTTGCACTTATCAGGAGCGCCTGATGGCCCGGAGGGTAGGCCCTTATTCCCCTCCTCAGGTGCTTCCGGCCCAGTCTTTCCCCCCTTAGGGTGACTGGCCTCAGCGAGATCAGAGAGCTCTCGGTCACCCGTTTCTCGTGGCCTGCAAGATGGCCCAAGCGCAACAGGCCTGACACACGCCGGAGTGTCCGGCAGGCCCCGCAGAGAGGTGTACTAGAGTACGCCTTGCACTCTGCACAGACCATCAGCTTCATCCAACACTACGGGTATAAAACATGGAAGTTAGTAACTCTTTACCCCGGGGGGCGTGGAGACATATAATGTAAATATATTTACATGAATTCTATATATATAATATATATAATGCAAAATGTACATATATGTAGAAACAAAACATGTATATATGGAATACTGATGACATTCATAAATGATTATGAATATGTATGTGGATATGTGTATGTATGTATATATACATATATTCATATATATATATATATACATAGCATATATACACATTGAAATAAATATATATAGAGGAAATAGACATGCAAAAATATAGCAGAAATTAGCTATATAAAGGAATCTACATATGACATGTATGTGTATGTGTATGTATGTATATATACACATATACAAAGTAATATATTATATATATACTGTATATATCTTGGTAAATTATAATAATTCACTAACCTGAATTAAGGCCATTTGGGGATGATTTCCCTTACTAACCATGATTCCAGTGAGGTCGCAGTGAGGTCGTTATAATTTACCCAGATATATGTATATATATGTACGGAACATATAGTTTAAATGTATGAGTACGCAATAAGATGCATTATGATCAATGCGTGCCTTCATCTTGCAGTACCAGTGTATGTACAGAAGATCTACACAAAACATGAATATTGAATATTGGTGTGCAGCGTATCAATGAGTACAGTATGGATCCGAGAGGTCCAGAAGAATCGTCCCAAGATTTCCAGCGCCCCCATGAATCAAATGCCTGCACCACCATAATGCCAAAAGCCAGGAGGAAGCAGGCACTCCACTTCACTGGCCCCAGCCGCTTGCCCAACATCAAAACACCCAAGCCTGACCGGGAACCCTGAATTTGCAACATGGTGACGAACAAGAGCACACTCTCTAAGCAATAATAATGCCAAACTGAATTCGAGCTATTCCATCCGGCCTGCAGTTGTGACAATTTTCATCTGGTACAGAACTTGCTGTACTGGGGCGCTCAACTTTGTGAGGCTGTAAAACATGAGGTTATTCCTTAGCAAGCAGGAACACAGAACTGCACCATATCAGGTCATTTTTAAGCGCACGTCCAATTACATAAGTTTTTTGTTGCTTTTGAAGATCTGCTCTTGGGAGGCAGGAATACCACCATTGTGAGCCCAATTCTGGAATTTGAGCGCGAAATACAAATGTACATTTCCATGATGATCGTTTCTTCTCCCAAGTCATCTTATGAAGTTGTCAGCTCAAGTCACTGAAATGTGTAGATCAGCGATGGCACCTTGACACGGCTGAATAAGCAGTCCGAGTGCGCACAGAACATTACACAGCGTCGGAACAGCACACCCTTGCAGGGCCCTTGCAAAGACTGAGATCTGTGCTGCTGCTTTGGCCAAATCTCGACCAGAATGAGTAAAATGCCCCTTCATATTGCTCATGGCAGTTGACAGGTCACCTCAGATGGTTGGCATTTGGCAGGTCAAATTTGGGAGAGGCATCATTTGGAGTTTTTGCAGGTCTCAAGCTAGTCATAATGCAGCATATTTCTATATTGGGTTTCCAACACATCCACCAGAAAAAGAGCTCAGAGACAGTTCTCTGTATGTGAACGAAGTAAGATTTGCTCGATCGCGGCGATTCAGCTCAAACTCAATGACTTAATCTGACTCAATATGACTCAATAACCTGCATAGCAGCAAAGCTGACCAAATCTGCCAAGGATCTACTTTCGTTGATCACCAAAAGAACACTGGTGATGAGCTTGACCACTTCCGTGTAGAAAACCACAGTACTTGGCATATACTCCTCTTTGTGATTCGGTTTGCTTGGAAGCATTTGAGGATATTCCCGATCCATGTCAATAGGGCGTCAACAGCGCAACCATCTCAAAGCATAATCAACTTGACTGCATGCAAGATCGGGCGAAACTCCCTGCTCTTCAAATAGGATGGCACGATCCTCTTCCTCCCCTCCTCCTCCTCGTCCTCCTCCTCCTCCTCATCATCATCATCATCGTCATCGTCGTCTTCATCATCATCATCATCATCGTCATCGTCATCGTCATCGCCATCGCCATCGTCATCGTCGTCATGAGGCAATGGAAGTGACAGGTGACGAGGCCGTGCCTTTTTGCCTTGAGCGTCTGCCCATTTGATGAGAAGCGCTTGTCCCGTAGTCTGAAACCTGGTCACAAAAACCGAGCTCAAGGGACTTTGGTCTGGAGCTCGAATTTCTCGTCGTTGAACTGCGTTCAATGTTCACAAATTGATGTCTTTAGACCCAAACAAGAAGCGAGGACTTCTCTTACTATGTACTCCGAATGCACCGAAAACAATAACCCTGGTATGCACACGCTTTGCCCCTCCACTTTGTGAATTTCCTTCTTGGTCAGCATGCAAGCTCTCCAACTCTGAGTTTTGTACGTTAAAGCAATCAGTGAGAACCATTTCATGTCAATGCCGCACAGCGTTGGCGGAACTTCCTACAAGGCTCTGGTGGTGTGAGATACCTGGAATGTGCAAAATGTTCAAGAAATCCCTTCTGTGTACAAATATGACAAATATATATATAATGCATCTAGACTTGTATTTGTCAGTATACATGTATCATCATGCATCAGGGTACGCAATGTGTATTTATATATATATATATGTAATGTGTATATATATATATATATATATTGCACATACATACATATAGAAATATATAGAATCATATAGATACCTAGCTTCAAAGTTCAAATCGGCCAGGTTAAAGACTATAGAGCGTTCTTTGTTCTCCATCTCGAAGCGATGATAAAGAGGCCATGATTGAAAAAGTTCAATCTTTTGTCAGTGACTGCACCTCAAAACGTAACAACCACATCTTGAGTCATCTCCAAACTGAGATGTCTCCGACCCATAGCATCCTTGCAATTCTGTCCTTAAGCTCTTTGGCCTCCTGAGGATCAGCTACCTTCAAGAGCTCCTTATCCTCATCTGGTTCTTCCTGGTCAGTTTGAAACAGAAATTTGCAACAGGAAGTACCAACAGGATGCAACGCATGTGCAGCGCATGTAACGTAGAATAGTAGAATATAGTAGAAGAGTCAAATGGATTTTTCACGACCACAGTCCCATCCGTAGTCCCTAAGATCTGTATGGGTTCGCATAAATTGCCTTTGCAACCGTCCGCAATGTCCACATGGCTAGTGGAAAATTTGTCTGGTTGGGCAGCACTTCAAGAGAGATAAGAGAGCTGTGACTATCACACGTGTCTTTCGTTTTATGTCTGCACCGTAGACATTCCTTGTGTAAAATTATTTGCTTGTACAATTGCCAATTTGCGATGACTGCCCAATGGTGTCCTTGCAGGGGTCTTGAGTGCATTTCGAGGGTCTAGGGCAATTGCTTTCCATCTCTGAGTCAGCGTCTTGTGATTACGTGGCTGCGCAGGTGTGTTTTTCCTGGAGTCTTTGCGAGGCCCCTTGTGCAGCACCACACAGTGAGCATATGGAGAAGTTGCAAATGCTGGGGCAAGCGTAGCACCGCGGGCGTGTCACTTTGCGAGTCGCAATCCGTGGGACCTGTTTTGTTTGTTTGCGTTAGTATGGTCTGCTTCCCAATTAGCGATGCTGTGCGGAGGTACAAAACGAATTGTCATTGTGCAGTCGAGTATGCACAGGCAATTCTGCAAAAGACGAGTGTTGTAAAAGAGTGTTACAGTATCCTGTTTAAAACGTTGCAGCAGTTTTATTCCGCTTGCATCCGGCTTCGTGGCGTCAGTGAGTTTTCAAAACTTGACCCAGCACTCAATTGTTTGCAAGGAGATACCTCCACCATAACCTATTCAAGTAACAGGATCACTTTGGAACACAGTCTGATGCATCGCTTTGGCCATTTTCGCATCACTTTGGAACACAAAATGATACATATCATCAAAACAATGCCAACCACACAGACATGAGATTTACTGACAGGCGCAATACTTTGGAAGCCTGGCGCGTTCCAAACCGAGAACAGGACCAACAAAAAGACCTCCTATGAGAAATATAGTCGTTAGAACGATGTTACCAAGTGCCACCACGGCTGTCACGCAACATGAAGGTCGATGTCCAAAAGTGCGATGTCCAAACACGCCTGCCACACAACATGAAGGTCGATGTCAAAAAGCGCCAGTGGGGTGGGGTGGGGTGGGGCGGGGTAAAAACGTTCATGTTCTTGTGCACACACAAGCACAGCAACCTCGTCACCTTTCTTGCTGTCCAGCAGACACAGGCACTCCTCTTTCATGATCAGTTACCGGTGGGTTGGGGTGGGGTGGGGTGGGGTGGGGTGGGGTAAAAACGTTCATGTTTTGTGCACACACAGGCACAGCAACCTTATCGCAATACCACATAACAAACATGCACACCCACCCGACGCACACACACACACATTTTGCCAATATTTACGCTGCGGGTATCAAACTCTTGGCCAAACGTTAAGAAAAAGCAGGATCAGCACGCTGCACCTTTACGTAATGGTGATGATGATGATGATGATGATGATGATGATAATGATGATGATGATGATGATGGTGGTAATGATGAAGAAGAATAAATATGTTCATGACAAAAAAGAAGAAAACATGATGATGATGATGATGATGATGCTGATGCTGATGATGATGCTGCTGATGATGATGATGATGAGGATGAGGAGGAGGAGGATGGCAAAGAAGAAAAAGAAGAAGCATGATGATGATGATGATGATGATGATGATGATGGTGAGGAAGCGGATGATGATGATGATGATGATGATGAGGATGAGGATGAGGATGAGGATGAGGATGAGGATGCTGCTGATGATGATGATGATGGTGATGGTGATGGTGATGATGATGTTGATGATGTTGATGATGTTGATGATGGTGATGATGGTGATGATGGTGATGATGGTGATGATGGTGATGATGGTGATGATGGTGATGATGGTGATGATGATATATGGCCTTAGACGGGAATGAAGATCATGATGATCAGGCGCGTTCCAAAGCGACGCATGAGACCGCGTTCCAAAGCGATGCTTTTGAACGCGTTCCAAAGCGAGTACCCAACCCCATATTCAAAGGTATTGTATGGGACACATGATGCATCGATAAGAATTGGTTGCCAGACTGTGGAATGATCGAAAGAAACACTAAACAATGAATCGTTTTCTTATCCATACTGAATTTCCCTTCCGAGTCTGGCTTTGCAGGGCCAAAATGAAACAGGCACTCGCTCAAAAATGAGCCTTACATCGCATGAAGCATCAGCACGTTGCATAAACTCGTCGTTTCATCAGCTTTGCAGAAGCTAGTAGCAGCTACCTGGTAGTAGGCTTTGCAAACCAGCGAATGGCCTCAGTCTTCTCAATCTCGAGGCCAATGACTTGACCTGGCAAAATTCATCTTTTCTCAAAACCATGTAACAAATCAAAGCAAGACATATCAAGACGTATGTAATTACATCATCAAACACGTGCGAAATACGTGAAACGGCTGCAGAATCAGAATGGCCCTCAACATCCTCAAAATATCCTAATTACTGTGATCGTGGTTGGTAGAATCCAGACTAATCAACTATTTTCTACGGAGATCTTTCAAAGTTGTTTCTACGCGAAGTAAAGATAGTACAAAAAGATACATGCCATGGTGAAATGGTTCATTTGTAAAATTTATATAGACTTGATTTGGACATAATTTGGACCCAATTTGCCACCAAGCCTGCATGAATGTCATGTGAGATATGGGCCTTTCATTGGTTCGGTGTTCACCCAGCCGGCACCGTCGCTCTCTCGTTGCTCCCCACATGGCATGGGCATAGCAGCAAGTTCTTGCATACATTCAACGAAGAAAAAGATGCACAGCATGGTGGCCACGAAGTTGGCATGATGTGTTTTCCTTCTTTTTATTTTTCCTTTGAACGAAATCAAAGAAAACTGAAGGCAGATACCCTGAAGTCTTTTACATGGAATGCCACGAGCAGTAACACAGCTATTAGGTGAGTAGGGCACTTGCCGTTCACTTGCCGTTCTGATCCGTTCTGTGCTTCAGGTGAACCCAATGGTTTAGGCATGGTTTGTCAACCTATGAGTACACTTGTGGATTGTGAGGCACTGTTCCCTTTTGCTTTATGTTGCCAAATGCCATGATTGGAGCTTTTACGCTAGATGCTAGCATGCTAGAGGACTTCAAGCTGAGAATCAAGAAGTTACCAAGCACCAACTCAAAATAATGTTTAACATGTGTAAACAGTACATCAGCCCATAATAGTCCATACATGCCTAATGTTTTGTGATGTTTTGTGATTGTGTTTATAATTGTGGTTCCAAAATCCCTTCTGGTCTCCATGAAGCACTGTCCAAAGCTATCTCTCTGTGTCTCTGTACTTTACTTGATACTCAACTTCTGCAAGCTTGCATGGTAAATTTCAGCGGCACCCTGGGTACAATTGGCGACCGTCCAGGAAGCTAGTTCTAGGGAAGCACCCCCTTATCAGCTGTTTGTACCTTCGTCTGAGAGAGTGGGCTTTCGCTTCAGGTTCTTTTCAACCAGATTTTGGGGTCAGGCAATCACAACAATTCCCAGTGCAGTTGACGGATTCCTGGCTACCAGTACCCCATGGTTCTGAAAGTGTGTGTGTGTGTAGCTCCCACTCCAAGCTACATTCAGACGTATAAGCAAGTCTAGGCAAAATGGACAAACATTCCATCGCGTTCCATCGCGTTCCATCACGTTCCTTGACTAAGTCACCCCTTTTCCTTGGGTGACCCAGACTTGCCGCTGGCATGTTGATCAAGACATCGACGCCACGCGACCAGAACAGAGCCACATTTCCCTCAGAAAGTTGACTACGAACCCAAAAAGTTTCATTTGGGTAAGAAACATGATATTCATATTTTTCTCAAACATGTAAATGTATACTACAGTAATTGAAGATAACTGGAGTATGGAGTGGTCCGTGACATCCAATGAAGAAAGTGCAACAACTTTGGAAAATGCCTTTCATGATCACGATCAAGGTTGCATGGAGGAATTGGTTTCATGACTCTAGACTCGACTCACTCACCACTACCACTTGGGTTTTGACTCACACAAAGGCTCTCGAAATCCTCGATCGTCTTCAGGGAAGCGTTTGTGGACCTTGGAAATCAAACCATTTTACAAGCCTACCTGGGCCTACCTTTACTTCAAGTTTTTTTCGGATTGGGCCCGACAACTCCAGCAGGAATGGTTTGCATTACATAGGGCAAACTCGAGTACAAACCATAACAATTGTTGAAGGGGAGAGCAATGTCCAATGCACTTCGCTTTCGGGCTTTGATGGGCCTTGTCTGATGCCAGAGCTTCAAAACTTCAAAGCATATTTGTTCATTTTCTTCTCCAATGTTGATTACTTAGTTTTGCTTTTCTATGATATTTCTATGTGTTTCTCTCATCTGGGTGCAGGATGAAGGAAATCTCGGAGAGTCTGAGCTTGTCACGAAGTACCACATGCCTTTGCAAACTCTTTGCATCGCGACACTTTTGTCGCTCTTTGCATCTGGTTGAAAAAAGACGCCTGGCAAATGCGGCGCAGTGTGTCCTTTGCACTTCGGAAACCATTTTTGGATACAGAGTTGTGGTCAAAACCAGACTTCACAGCTTGGTGTGTTGGAAAGGTACCAGCATTTCAACCTTCCAGTTTTTTCGCAGAATGAGGTACAACAAGCAGCAGAGGCTTCGACCTCGTTTCGCTCGTGAAAGGTTAACTCCATTGGAGACTTCCCATGATAACCTGCACTCCGATCACTCTGCTCGGTATTGATCAGTCAAAGGAATATTCAGGAACATACGTTCCTTGCTCAGCAGCTTTCTGTTGGGCATAATGGAGTCACAACTCAGAACCATTTTTTGTAATACATATCTACATTTGTATATGTACATATATGTGAGTTATGTAGATTGTAATTCCATGCATTGTACTCTCCCAGCCTTGGTCTCCATTACTCAAAATCAAAAGGATCTGAAACTCTGTTTCTTGGCCCAGTGTTTTCTCTTTTGACAAAGAGAAAGTAAGAGGACGAGCCTTGATTCGGTTCGCTGAGCATCCGAAAGTCCCCACGACCTTGCACAACCGCAGTGCACTGCATAACGATGCTGCAAAGTTTCCTAAACTTGTCTTAATTGTAGTTCGCCACTTTGAACACTCATTTATCATCTACACATGCCTTGTCTTATCTTCACACATGGTCTATATATTGGCAAACAGTTGCACTACAGTTGTACGCATGTATTTCACCCATCGCAAAAGGCAGTTTCTGCTCTAACTCAAGTTTGACTGCAACTAAGGGTTCTGAAGAAATTGCAGTTCTGCCGGTTGTTTTTGCTTAGACGGATTTGTGCTTTGTACCTCTGCACCTGGTTGCTGGTGTTGGGAAGTGTTGAGGATGCAAAACCAAATGTTGACTAAGTAATAACTCAATCATACTAATTATATACAACTCACAAATATTCTTCAATATTGTATGCTATCTTATAGTATACTATGATATGTATAATATGATATAAAATGACATAATATGAAATAATATGACATAATATGATATGATATGAAATAAAATGATATGATATGATATCATATCATCTGACTTAATACGGTATAATATCAAATAATATTTTATGATATGGTATGGTATTATGCAACAAAATTAAATATAGATAATATACAAAACGCATATTATATAATATAATTTTATAATGCCATACAATATAAGACAAGACAACACAACACAATACAAAACAAAACAAAACAGGCAAGGCAATGCAATGCAATACAATAGAATACAATACAATACACTGCAATACAATACAATACAATAGAATACAATACACTACACTACACTACAATACAATACAACACACAAAAACCAAAAAAAAACAATAAACAGTAGAAAACAAGATACAATACACTACACTTATCATTTTGAAAAACAAACATGATATATAACGAAATATTTTAAGTATAGTCAAATGATATTATAGTATATCATGATATTGTGGTATATTGCATTAAATGGAGACGATGTCGAAGTAGTAGAACTTGGCTGGAACGGCAAGGAGAAAAAATCAAGGTGACGAAAGCGCTCCGCAAGGTCGCTGTTCAGTGTAGAGCTTCAACGAACGTATCATACTTCTGCGCATAGAGTCCCCAGAGACATGTAGCTGGAAGGAGAAATGTACTTGTACTGGAGATCGAAGCGACCATGGCGGTCATGCTAAAAGAAGAGGATGTTAGCCGGCAAACGGTGAGCGAAAATGGATGCTAGCTAAAGCTTGTGCCCGTGCCTAATAGTTAAATGAATATATATATATATACAGATACAGTTGAATAACTAATGAATTTAGTCATACTGTATCCAGTTTGAATTTGTAGTAATAAGTTTGTAGTATTTGACACTATCGTCTCAAAGAGTCCAAGGCCAAAGCTGAGTGCATGGAACGCCTTTGTGTCAAAGTCTTTGACGCTCATTAAGCCACGGCCTCGACAATCTGCTGAGTTGCATTCTAAATTCTTGAGGCTCTCACCTAAAGCTCATTGTGACTCATTCTGCCTTACAACTCCAACACCAACTCCTACACCAACGACACAAACTTGCTTCAAAGGTTGCCGTGCTATGCCATGCCTGTCTCTGGCTGCATGCGTCTGAAGAGCTCTGCCGCATTGCCAGCGAAGCCTCAAGGAACAGTGGCAGAATGGCTCTCGGTGGCAAAAGCTCGTTCAGGCGATGAATCATCATCATCGTCGTCTTCATCATCATCATCGTCGTCGTCGTCGTCATCATCGTCATCATCCTAGTGACAGCGAACTAGGTAGTGGGAACGCAATATTATCTGAGAATACCCACTTGCCAGCTATTTCCCGGGAATTTGCTTGCACAAAGGTCAGATGCAAGATGGTGATGGTGATTATGATTACGGTGATTTTGGCGTTTATTGTTTATGATGTTTATGGTGATAGTGATGAATAAGGTTATGCCATCCCATATGAAAATGAGGGAGTTTGGCCCAGATCTTGCATCCAGCCAATTCGATTCTGGGACTGTGTGATTCAACCTGCCTGGCTCAGCAAAATCTGTGGGGTGGCATCGCCAAGCTCCATTGAATGGATTGGAGGCGGAATGGCAAGCTGCTGAAGCAAGAGGAAGTCAATGCAACTATGATAGTTTGCTTTCGGTTTTCATTCAACCACCTGAACCGTACCTATTGATCCTGCATGATCTCAAAATGATCTCTACATCTTTAAACAAATCAATCGTTGCATTACTAATAGCAGGCGTCTGCTGTTCATCGTTCGGTCCCGATTTCCAGCACGCCTACTTTGCGGCAGCAGTGCACAAACTGTTTCTCTGTCACCCAGCCATTGCCCTGTCACAGGTACCGGTAGTAAAAACATGTAAAAACACATCCAAAGCATTCCAAAGCCAGGTTCTATTCCTTGTTGATCTGCCTTGTTGAGGACAGTTGAAGAATCTGTCAACCCTCCAACTGCATCCAACTGCCCCATCTCAGCCCATGTCTCCCCAATCCGCTGTTGAGTCAAAGTTTCGTGTTTTTGAATGTCTATCGAGATCTATCCAAATTTCTATCCAGTGAACATTGAGAAAGTTTTAGGCGCCTTTGTGTCCAAGCCTTTCACCCATGCAAGAAGCATGTTCTGATACTCCTCAGAGATGCAGGGCAGTCTGGATGCAATATGGCTCATTATCCTTCTTATGGCTCATGCGAGCCCATGCAGTGGGTCAAAAGAGAAAATCTGCCCGTTAGTGAAAAGGGAACATCCAATCACACTATGCACACTATGCCATATGTGATGTCTCTCCAACAATGCATTTTAACCTGTGTTTCTCTGCAAACGACATGTTTGATGAATTCCATGTTTCTTGAACAGATGTTGACTGATTTGACTGTAGAGTCACTATCAGTGTGGCTGTGTGGTGGTGTGTCCGCAGCTCCTTGGTCAACTTTTCACGCAACTCCGTCAACATCTCATCAGTCTCTGGGTCTAGATCCCTGCCATTTCGACAAGCTGAAGCTTCCCCAAGAAATGCCAAGAAGCCTCAAAGAACATGCCACAAATTGCCACAAGAACTATCAGAACTATATAAGTTTGGGTCTGCCCATGAGGGAGAAACGCATGGCTACCAATATTGCACCACTACTACACAAGCTTAGCGTAGTGACAACTTGGACCCGGATGATGTGAAGGACACAAAACCACAAATAGCTTTCAGTGGTGAATCAAGATTCATCGAGTTGCACCAAGAGGACCTGCGAGGCAGCGCTAATCTAAGTGAAAAGAGCAAAAGAAAGAGTACAGATCCTATACAGATCCTAGTGGCTGATAGATCACAGCCCACAAAAGGTGCCTGAATTGCAGGAAATCGCGGTCCGTCAACTGCAACCAAAGGCTCCTGGAGCAACTTCAAGTTTCAAAGCAGTAAAGTACACTGAAGTCCACCGCACTTGCAAACCGAAGAGATGAGAGGAGCCCTGCATACAGAACTTACAGAACTATACTATACGCCCATCCGAGGCTAGACCCTACGAGCAAACAGCGGACCAAAATGCCAGCAAGACCCAAAGAAACCAGTTGGAGCCGTAAAGCGAAGCATAACATGCTCTCCCCCTCTGCAGCAGGTCAGCCACCCGCTGTAGATACAGCAAAGGCCAGGCAAAACGCAACAACTTGGATCAACTAATGCAACTACAGTAGTCTTAGTTAGTTACTCCGAGTTACTCAATGTTGCTTGACCTGCTCAATACACTTCAAAACCTCTCTGCGGATGGATTTCTGTGTGGTCATGTGCGATCCCAAAGTCGGAGCCCGTCAGCAAGGTGGGCTTCAACAGGGCGCGTTACCATATGAAAGGAGTATGAGACATTGCAAGAGGTTGGACAAGCCTGGGAAACCTACAATACTTACAGCTTTCCGTCCATTGCACAGAATGTTGAAAAAGCTAGATGACACATGTATGCACATGTAAATAAATATTTTAAAAAATGAAAAAAATGAAGAAATGCGTAGAGGCAGGATGACAAACTCGTCATGCGAGCAAGAAAGGACTGCTAATATGTTCGAGTCATGGAGAAAGACTGCAGTTTCAGAAATTTGTTTCCTGCCTTACTTCATAGTGGAGGCCCAAGCGATTCAGCAAGAAACAGAACCTCAGCCAAAGCTCTGCGGGACGGCCAAATGCAAAAAGACGCAGACATCCTCGCCGTATCTTGCAGTAAGACAAATAGGGACACACAAAATACACAAACATGCAGAATCACAGAAAACCTCCAGGCATCCACACTCCCCAAAAGTGAGCTTGCCCTTACCGTCAACGTCGAGTGCCTGTGCAAAGATTTCCAGCATGGAGTAGGGGACGGCCATCCATTTTCACACAGCATACACTCACACAGCATAGTCTGAGTCAAAATTCTCAGCAGGGCAGGTCTTTGTATGGTACACATGTAGCAAACTCAAAGATTGTATTTCTGGAAAGCTTACCCTTGACTCAACCTCTCGAGTCCTTCTTGGAAGGTGTGAACCCTAAAACAAGCGATCAGCAGGGCTCCTCTCTCCATGCCGCCAGCAGTGTACCAAATTGATGGCACAGTGCCTTCAGGCGTCAGCCCCGACACTCCAACAATTTTCTGCATGTGTCGGGGCTGTCTGTAAGAATACAGGAGAAAGTCGGAAAGCGCCTGTCTGAAGCTGTCTGCCAGCTGGCTCGATTTTGCTTTGTCCAACTGCTCCTCATATCAACATGATCCCCCAGCATCGTGTAGAGTTTATCAACTCGTTCCAAAGATTTCCAAAGAAAACCTGGGCATTTAGCCTTTTGTTGTTGACAAGGGAGGACCTGCAGGGGATTACACACTGCTCTGTGCGTGCGTGGGGGTGTGCATATGTTGCAAGAGTGCGACGTGCCTCCCTGTGGTGGCTGCATGCTGCATTTGTGTGTTTGCCCTGTGGAAGAGCAACTCCCTAGTGCCAAAGAGCACCAAAGAGCATGATCCATAGGAACCCTAACACCCTAACAGGCCCTGACACAGGAGTTTCATGCACAAAGTGAACTACGTCTCAAGCTACTTCGACCTGCGAAGCCTGGAGTGGAGAAAAAAAACTGCCCAGACCGCTCTTGCTCCTCTTTCTTAGCTGGCCTCAAGAGAATGAGAGGTCTGACGGTCAAGATTCTTTCGCAATAATCAGTGTCTAGCAAAGCCACCTGAATTAGGTTTTATATGGTTTTATACATCCAGGATCGTGCCAGTATCTTAATGGGATGAAGGATGATGAAGGATTCAGGATGCATCAAGGATTGTTTCTCTTTGCGCAAGCACTGGGCTCACTGGGCATCCCAACTCGTTCTCTTGGTGGATTGGTGGAAGTCCACCAGCCATGTGTCGTTTCCTTGCAGACTTCAAAATAGAAGGATTGGGTTCTCGTATCTCTCATTCTCCATCTTTCTCCGTGACTTGGAAGAAAAACTGGTGAAATCATGTGAAATCTGTTTCAACTTTACCCTTGCCTCAGTTGATTAGCTAGGCTCTAGCTAACAATGTCTGGAAAGCTCGGCAAGGAGCTGTAACTGTGACAAACTCTGATTTTCTCAGACTGTGGCCATGTCTCTGGGTCAAACTCAAAGAGGGACACGCCCTGAAGAGCTGGTGCACACTCCATGCACGACAGTTTGGGACAAGCAGAACTTCAAAGCAGCCAAAGTTTTCTGCAGTCCCCAATCTTGCGGTTATCTAGACATGTCTGTCTATTCCACGTGAAGACTCTAGGCTCTCTGCTTTCTCACATAAAACATGCTCACTTGAACTCTGTGCCCCAAAGGCTCACATGCCTTGGATGAGGGACCCCTCAAAATGTTGAAGAGCTTCGCCGGATTCATGTCTAAACCCGACCTGCAGGGCTTTGGACTTGTGCCATGTTGTATCATTCCAGCCAAACAACATACGATTATATCATATTCTTGTATGTATATATATATATATAGATACGACTAGATACGATTACAATCGATTATATATATAGTACAAAATGTGATTGTTTACCTCACCCTCACAGTCCAGGTGAATCCAGGGAAAGACTTTACATCTGCGCACCTTTCTACTGCTTTGGCGAGGGCAGGCTCCTGCAAGGCAAGCCCGGCGAAGAATGCCAAGCAAACGCTACACGAATGATTTTGGAACCAACAGGAGGAAAAAATAGAAAGCAACCCTCTGTCGCCCTCTGTCTGGTGCCAACCCTTTTCCAGTTTTCTGGGATGCCCGGAGGTAGTTGGCACAATCTACACTTAGCTACTGATGCTACTGGGGAGATCAACTCAACGATATTGATACTTCCCATTTAGGACATTCAGATACATTCCGTGTAAGCAGCCGATAACTATGGTTGAGAATCTCTTTGCTACTCAACTTACTTGCGTGGGCTGGCTCTAGTTTTGATCTCGTTTTTATTCTGGAAGCACTGACTTCCACAATGCTCACAGGCACAATGCCCTCTTGTAAGCAGCGAACGAACGCTCATACCTTTCTTTGCCCGGCATTACGCGTCTTTCGCATCTTTCTGGTGCATTTTATCTGCATCAAATGCACCATAGAGTTGAGCAATGGTCACCAGAATCAAGGCAAGCATGAAATAGCCTGAGCGGAAGCGTGTCATCATCAAGAATGGCAATCTTGGACTTTGCTCATGTCTCTCATCTTGTAACATCTTACAAGATCTTACAGCGTCTGCACCTGTGGAACATACAGGTGACTGCATGGTGTCATTGTCAGAGGCCTGGGCCTTCAGGGAATAAAATTAGATATATAATTAGAGTTCAACGGGGCAAAAGCAATATTTGGATTCTTTTTCAATCTGCGTGCGGGGTATCTGTTGCAGGCCCTTTCAGCCAGTAGCTCAGACCGAAAACTGCCAGAGAGCAGAGCGAAGACAGTAAGAAAACGTAGTCAAAGTGAAGGTGGACCGAAGACAAGTCGACTTCCCCCACCAATGCCATCAAGTCAGCTCGATCTCGCTTAGGAACAAAGCGCAGGGTAAGGATGACGCAAGCTGCAAAGTACATTGCCATCACCTCCGACAGCAACAAGGCCAGCGAATTTGATGTAACAGATGTGGAGACCATGCGAAAAATGGCCAGCAGTCGCTGAATAAACTGCCGGGTGTTGGCCAAGGTCAGGTAACCCACAAAGATCAGAGACAGCATTGGTGCCCAGTAGCTAACATCCACTGGAACTCTCAAGTTGAGTAAAAGGATTGTGAGTAACCTCGTGGCTGGATCATCAGCCTGTGCACTTCCACGTCTTAGTAAAAGGTTGACGGAAGACATCAAGATTTTGTACACGCAAATTGCCGAACAGCAACGGCCAAGTACATTCATGACCTTTCCCAAACGTGTGCGAGCCTTCAGCTCACACAAACGAGCTTGAATGAGTTCATCGAGCTCCAGAAAAAGCTCACGACTAAAGGCCTCTAGAGCCTGGATTTCTGTGGCCAGTTGCTTCCGGGTTGCGGATGGTGAAGTGCCAAACGAACCAATTCCGCCAATTCCCAATGTGAAAAAGCTCGGGTTTTGAACAAACTGTGCCACCCGTCCAACAATGGAGATGGGCTCCTCTCGTTTGGCACGAGTCTCTTCTTGTTTTAGGTTGAGTTCTTGCCGCTTTCGAGCAGCTATGAGTCTCATGGTCCTCAACAAGCGTTGCTCTACGTCGGCGACCTGTTGCTGTGTGACCGGTCGAAGGAACGAGTGCATACTCTGAAAGGGAAAATTCACAGCCCCAAATCCACTCAGCGTTGCCACCACTGTAATACCTAGTACACCTATACGAGCTACGAGAAGGTCGGCCGAGAAGTTCACAGAATCAATGTGAATCAACTTTCCAGACAAGTAGATTGCGTACCAAAAAGGTGGCAATGAGAGCAGCGCCGAGGCTAGTGCTAATCGATGAGAGCCGTAGCAAATCGACCTCACCGCTGTCCAAACGAAAGATGCCGGCAACACCACGTATGAGAGCCAGATTAAGGTCCAGTGGTCTACCTTCCATGCAAATGCACGGACATCTGCATCAAACAAACCAGCCATGGTCGCCAGCATCAACTGAAACATAGATGAGGAAGCGGCAAAGGTTGCTGCAAAAAGAAACTGGATGTATCTCTGCTTCACCTCCAAACATGGGAAATGAAACGAGTCTTTTTGGCAAATGGCAGGGCCTGGAGGCCTCAAACAGAACTTCTCCCAAAAGATTGAAATCTAAATAATCTATAAATATCTATATATATATAAATATATATAAATATCTATAAATTAAAAAACCGGTACCCGTTGCTCAATCCCCAAGGCGGCCTCGTAGTCGCGGTACAGAAGTTTTGCAAAGAACCAGTTCGCCACGGCGAAAAGCATCACATGGGAACCAGCTAATAAGAAAGCTTGGAATCGCCACCATGTGGTCGACTGCCCAGACTCTTCATTTGCGGATATGTCAATGACATCAGCCAGCGCTCCAGTCTCACTGCTTTCAAGACTAAGAGCTGTTGCAAGCACTGTAGCATGTATAAAACCAGATGTGGCACCTCCCATCGCAGTCCATCACCGCTGTCTCTTCATCTTATGTTTGTTGTTCTCTACTGACTTTTCAGTTACTTAATTACAGGAAATCAAGGCGTCAACCAGTGGCACTGTTTTTTGTCTTTTGGGGTTCCATGGCACTCCACAAGTTTGAGTCACAGTCACACCTTCTAGAAAACATGTTTATGGATTCCTGAGATCTCCTGTGCGCGTATACAACAACAAGCAAGTGATTAGAATTGTCACTAGAGCAATTCAAGTGACTTTGAGCAGAACATCCACAAGCTGGTGTATCTGGTATATGTTATGTCTCTCAGGCATGTCGTGAAAGGCAGGCATCCACGAATTCTGTCTACAGTAGATGTTCTGAGAAGTACCATGATCAAATCCTGCAAACAGCAGTTTAACGCCACAACCTTAGCAACGTCAGATTGAGTCAGACTTCATCGCAATCCACTACAAGCTCCTGCAAAGCTGAACAAATCAGAGAAGAATCATTCGAAATCACATCCATTTCGGGAGAAAAAACTCATCCAAGCAGCCGCAGCTCACGCCGGTGATGAGCAGCGTCCAGATATCTGGGTACCGCTGAGGGGGTGGCACCACTGCATGCAGGAAGTGCAACAGGACCCCCACCAGCACAGTGACAAGCCTCAAATGAGACTTTCACGGATACTTAGCCTGAAACCCAATCAATAGCTACATGCTTTCGAGAATTTCCAAAAAATATACCACAATGAATTCATAGAACGAGTGCGAACCAGTCTCAAAGTACCAAAGCACAACGTTCTTGAAGTTTTGAAGCCAAGTCGCAAGAGGGATCTGCATGCAGTATTTGGAGGATTTGGAGAACGCTCGCAGAGTACTATCAGAACTGCTAGTAAGCACAGGATGCTCAGAAAGTATGCTGGGCAAAGGTCATCCTTTACCATCAGTGGATACCTCAGTGAAACGACATGAAACGAATGAGACGGTGGAGGCGGTGGATTGGCTTTTCGGCTTTTCACTTGCCACACCCTGAAAGCTCGGAAGAAATATTCCAAAGATTTCGATGGACAAAAGAATCATGGGAGGATGAGCCAGTCTCCAGTGCAGGAAAAAATGTTTCAAACATGTTCAAACATCTCGAGTTCATGCCACATGACACCAGTATTTCATGTGCATCTGTGGGCTTTCTTCGGAACTCTATAATTTTCCTGGTTGCCCCCCGACTTCTTAGGATTGTGCAGGGGTCCACCTCACCTACGTTTGTTGGTACCACTTGATGGCAACCGTTTCTTAAAGTTTCTTTCCTTTATGCCTTCGCGTTCTTTTCTTGCTCTTTTTTTTGCCTCTCATCTTCCTGTCCTCTAGTACATTCTTCTTGCCTGCCTACCCTGTTGCGTTTGAGTCTCCTTCGTTATCGTTGTCCGGGTCCCTCTTCCCATCTTTCTTTTAGTGTTAGTTCACTATCTCGTTCTTGCCCCCTTTTCTTCGCATCCTGTTTTTTCCTGTACAGTCCCTGGAGACTGGCCATAAATGGCTAAAACATGCTAAAACCAAGGCACATAGAGAAGAGACTCACTAGCTGAAAGTGCACAGCCAGAATCCAAGGAATCCCAGCTGAAGATCTTAGAGGTCTCCACTGTCTCCACTCTTTTGCCAAAGCGGGAGGAAGTAAGCACACGGCCAGACTTGGAAAGAGTACCCCTTTTTCATGGACCTGTAGGCATGCATGGTGCCATGCTCTAACAATCAGTAAATGCTAAACATCTCCATACATCTCCACATGCTGTCACAACATCCTGTCACAACGTGCCGTCACAACATGCCGTCGCAAACAATTGCTCTTCCACAAGCCCTCCAGGTCTGCAACATTCTGCAACTGCAACAAACACCAGTGATGCAGAGTCAAGCATCAAATGCATCCCGTTTCCCATGTTTCCCAGCCTGAAAAGCAAAGAGAAAAAAGGACATTGAAGACGTAAAGAGTGCTGCAGCAAATGCGCCTGCGCATCTTCAAAACTAAACAGCCTTTAGCATCTATTGAAATAATTCCCAGGCTCTTGCTATGCCATCATTCTGCCATGCAAACTTGCCTGCTTTTAAGCAAATCACACCGGTTGGATCTGGTATCATTTTCTGAACGAAGTTTAGTTTCCAAGCTTGCACAGTCTGAGATGCTCGGCACATGCAAAGCCAAAGCAGTTATGTGCCAAGAAAGAAGCAGAAAGAATCCAGTTCAACGAAAGCACTCACCTGGCCCTGCTTTGCGCCGCAGTGTACAGAACGCAGAAGGCAGGAGAGACACTAAAGTTGTCGACGCACAGAGTAGTGGCAGTCGCCCAGTTGGCACCAGCCGCTGCACCTTGAAGACCTGAAAGCCGAGTCTCATATTATGAGGCTCGTACGACTCATATGACTCATATTACTGATATGTATCATGTATCCAAGTTCATGCATTCCTCAAAAACAGAAAAGGGAAGTCCTCCGGTGCAGACATTTTTTCCTCTTCCCTTCCTATTACCACTTGACTTGTGGAAAGGTTCCGTGTTGATGCCGAAACCCATCAGAACCCAAGCCTCTACCTCAAGCACTAGCCACCAATATTAATGTAGTGGATTCTGCTAACTGCATGTAACTGCTCCCTCCTTGAGAAACTGCGTCCAAGCAACGACTGAAATCGAACACCAAAAATTTGCCACCTTATCTTCGTACAAACCTCGTGCAAAAGGAAACATGCGGTGGAGAACTTGCAGCACAGCCTCAGGGCAGGTCAGGATATGCAATTGAATAATTTTTGCAAGTTATCGGAGCCTACCCGGGCTGATCTGCAAGAAACTGCTAATCAATGTAATCTTCAAATGTCATTCCAATCCTTTGATTGCAAGACCAGTTCAGCACGCATGCAGTCAAAGAGGCTGCTTTGACTTCCTTTTTGCCATCGATTTTGGTTTGCAAGCAATCTCATGAAAGGACCGAGTGTTTCAGCCTCTTTTTGAAACCACGTAGCTGGCAAAGGTTGCTGCGTCAATAACCAAGGCCCAAATAGCAGCAGGATTGTACAAATCACAGCAGCTCCAGCAGATGCAACTCCCAAGACCGCGCGGTCGAAGGCAAAGGGGCGGAGGCACTGCGACAGAATCCCAAAGAAAAAGGCGGGAGCCTGAGTAGAATGAATTTCTGAATGAATCACGTTTCTGATATGCATCAAAATCGCTTCATAAGGTGTCCGCAGGAGAAAGTCCAACCGTCCAACTCAAACCCAGGGGAAAGATTTGGCTGACAGTCAGAAGACCAGTGACATAGTACAGAGATATTTGCTTGTACAGCAAGGCAAGCGTAAACAGAACCTTAGTCGAATGTTGGGGCTAGCATCTTTCCATTGGAATCATTTTGATGACTGTTTGGGGGACTGGAATTGTGCTGAACTAATATCAACTCAAATGTCATTTTTGGGTAGGTGCAGGAGAGGATAAAAAGCCGGTTCCCTGAACGTCGGGTTTACTCGGCAACACGACTATCCAAGTAAGAAAGGGTGGAAACTTCAGAAGCATAAAGATTGCATGAAGTGTTTCATCACTTCATCCATTAAAAAAATGTGGTACAAGTCAGTGCAAGTGCTATGTTCCCGGGCACTGGCTGGCACGATACGTTTCTGGGCAACGCAGCCAGCAGCTGCCAAAGAGAGGCCCAAACAAACGCAGTTGTATTGGAAATGCCCATGGTCTATGATGACCTCAATGAACTGTCTCTTGACACTTTCCTCTCTCGTCTGGATTTTCGCTCAAACTTGAAGTTCCATAATTTCCTCAAAAGGGCAAAGCAACAAATTTCAAGAGCTCTCAATTGCACATCGCTTTGAACTTGTATGAACTTGTAGAAGTAGCTTGGAGGCCGAACCAGAGGTGGCAGTAGCCACAAGAACAGAGCCAAGGGCTGCCATGCTTCAGCAAAGCTCTTGGCCGCATACACCGCTCCTTCCATCAGCTCTTAGAGTGCCAAATTTTGATGCCAAATCCAGACATTGCATGACATTACAAAATGTTCCGCCAAATCGAATTCATCCAGTCCTGGCAAATAGATCAGGAGGTCAGAAACCATCACAGAGGACCGCAAGAAGGCCTGCTTCATTAAGCCCAGCAGAGAAAGAAGGGACAAAAATTCGAGGAATCAAATCATTGAATCAGCGTATGGGCAAGAAAAGTAACTACTAATTCTTTCCTTTGTCCCGAAATCCAAGCCACTCCAAACTTCAGTTCCAGTACCTTCAAAACTTCCCTCTGGCTCTTTTCCCAAAACTTCTCATAACCCTTCCTGATGTGGAAGGTTGAAAGACTCTGAAATACCCATCGCATGGTTAGCTCCAGCAATACAGCCTTACACTGCAAGCTCTCGTGCCCTCGACTGGTGTGAAGCGCGAAACAGGTGGGATCCACCTGGTGTCCAATGGTCCTTAGGTTCAGGTTGCTGGCATCAAGGCTCAAGTCATGCACAGGACAGGGGCTCCTCTAGCGGTTGAAGACCCTGACGTGGAAGTGGGCCAAGGACCAACATGCACAAACAATCATCAAACAATCATCAAAAGCAACAGACACATTGCGTGATGGTTGCCTCGCGGACTAGCGACCGTTCATTGTTCTGTTGTACTACAGCTCTTGTATCTCTTGTAATATATTGTAATATCATTTAAGTATATGGTATGTATAGTCTGTATAGTTAATCTGTGAACAAATGGATCCTTGTTCTGGATGTAGTTATTGAGCTGTGATACCCGTTATGCTGGTAGCTTTGGGCAGCGTTACGGCGTTGCAAGCGGAGCTCGGACTTTTCCTCGCGCAGGGACTTGAGCCAGTACGGCGTTTCAATGCACAATCACATATGTACATGATAAGTGTCCTAGCGTTTAGTTCCCTTTGACACCCCCCATGCCCGTGGCATTCTTCGAGCCACGGACACGAGAGAGGGAACTTTGAATTAGATTTGTTCTGCTACTTGAATTACGCCTATTTACATAAAACGTGCCATTCGGATCCCCCTTCCCCACATACCCGTCGGGTATAATGGTTCAGGGTTCACCTACTCTTTGGCTGTCGATGCATCGGCGCTTCATCAAGCTGTACAACGCGAATTATTGCTAGCTAACATCTACTTTTCTACGTTGGCTAAGCCCGCCACTCACCCGTCGGGAGAAATGGATCGCTTCGCTACCAAAGGTTTACAATGCTAACTAACGAATTCACGTGCACATTGCAGAATCTCGTGCAGATTGGGAATATCAAAAGTCTTGAACCTAAGCGAATTAGTCTAATGCCTCGCTCAGTGTCCACTCAGTTGGTCTTTTCCTGATCATCTGTTCATAAAGACGGTAAACATCTTGTAGCCCAGTGATCATTTTGACGGATCGAAGCAATTGGTTTACTGCTCACGGCGGACTTTCTTCCATTGAGGTGCTGTTGGAGTTCTCTCCCATCCTGCCGCACGTTTCGGAGCAGCTTTCGGCGATGAAGGCTTTGCAGGCGGTGCCTTTGATGGTTCATGGGATTTCGGCATAGCCTTGCCCTTTGGTGCGCTAGCCGATGAGGATGATGCTGAACCAGTGCCTTCAGGTGTCTGTGAAGGTTGTGCAGGTGGTTTAGCAAACTTGGAAGCTGCAGTATGTCCAACCGCTTTAAATACTTCACTCACCACTTCGTCGCCAAGGGTTGGAGCCATCTTCGTTTTCATCTCGGTCTTTCCCCTCTGCGCCTCGGCCTCGGCCAGCTGAATAGCATAAGCCATCTTGCTGACAAAGTTTTGAGGTAAAGGAATGCCACATTGTTGGGCGGCAAAGAGCAGTTCTACTCTCTGTTCTTTCTCCCTCAGGCTCAGATATACCGAGAAAGCTGGGAGTTCGATGCAGTTGGGGAAGCCGTGGCTCCCGGAGCGAAAGAAGGTGTATGACTCGTGCTCCGGAAAGGTTCCTTTGAGCAGTCGTCGAAGGAAATTGCTGATGGTTACTCGCATCTCCTGTTTCCCTTGGGCATCAGCCTGCATTCGGTTCATTGGCATGAGAAAGCCTAATGACTCAGGAGTGTACCCGGCGCGTACCAGAAATTCCATCATCTTCTCATAGATCTCTAAAGTCTTGATGACAGGCATCATCATGTTTCTTGGTCGCCCTGAGTATAACTTCTCTCCTTCTGACCATGAATTCCTCTTCCCTTTCTCCTGAAAGAGTTCATCCAACTCCAGCTCCGTCGGGCGCTTGAGGTTGCCATCCTGGTCTTCTCCTGTATAAGGACAGAAGTCGTCCAGGTCCAGCCGGACTCGCTTGGTTTCCGTCATCATCTCATAGTACTCCTCTGGGGTCAGGGTGACTCTCTGTTTGTAGTAGAGCCTGAACATTGTGATGATCTTTGACATGACGGCATTGTCATACAAGTGAGCCGCGGCCTCGGAGACATCATTGTTGATAAGTCCGTCTTCTGGCATACCCTTGCTGCCGCTCTCGAGGTTCTTGGTCCATGCTGGAAGTTTGGAAGAGGGTTCATCTTCAGGTTCGACTTCCATTTCATCGTCGTCTTCTTCAACGATTTCGTCGTCTTCCTGTTGGGCTTCCTCCTCCTGATCCATTTCCTCATCATCGCCTTCGTTGTAGTCGACCTCGTCAGGATTGAAGCCATAGTCGTTGGATTCGGATACGTTTTCTTGTGCTTGATGGACCGTATCCTTGAACAACGATTCTTCTTGTCGACGAACTTCTTCATCGATCTCTTTCTTCGTGGCCTCATCTTCATCGTCTTCAGGAGCTTGTAGCCGATAGGGACGGATTCCACAACTTTCAAGTTCCGTCCAGCAAACTAGACACACTGCTAGTTTTGTCGGCGTCTCATTGAGACAGTGAGGACAATGGCGGCAACCTGATGTTTGCACCCTTTTGCGTTCGACTATGTAGTCAATCAGCTTGATGCGGGCCAGGTATTGCTCTTGTCCGCCAGGCTCGATGAGGTTGTTCTTGAATTGGTTGACGATGTTCATGGCATCCATGGCGGTTTCGTCAAACGGTTGATCTTCGGCGTCGATGCACTGACTTGCAACCCTCAAGATGGACTCCTTGGTGGCTACCGTTCTTGATTTGATAGTTCCAGACCGGACTACCTGGTCGTCGCCCGACGGGACGAACAACCGGAGCCATGTCTTATTGTTTTGGTCCTTTGGGTCCTGAATCCATCCTCCTTTGATTGCCGAGAACGGGATGATCTTTGGTGAGACGATCTGTCCCGAGTCAGTCAGTCGACCGCCATATTCCACCATCAAGGTCTCGGTCGGGACGAACAAGCAAATGTAGTCCCCTCTTCGCGTATCAACGCTCTTCGTGATGGTCCATGATCTGTGATCCCATGGCACATACGGGTTGAAGAACGTGAACATCCGATGACCTTCTCCAAGACCTCCTGGAATTAATCCCTGCCTCCAAATGCTTCGAAGGTTGGTCTTCTTGGTGATGTGGAAACAAACCGGTAACGACAAAATGGTGTTGGGCGCGATTGGATGTGAAAGTAATGAGGACAGCAATGAGACGTCGTCCCTTGAAGATCCTTCTTTGTGCCCCGTAGGAGCACGGACCGCCACAGGGTAGAGCAGTAGACCTTCATCAGGAATGTTCGTGTCCGCATCGACTTTGTTGTCAATGCACGTCAGGCTGGTGCGCTCAATGTCCTTGTTGATACCAAATGCCAAGACTTGTTCACGAACGCGACGTCCATACCGGGCACAGTGGAACATGATCTTGAAGAGCAATGTCATGCGGTAGTTTGCCTCATCGACATTCCATGCATTCTGATCATTTGCTCTTCCTTTTGGAGCAAGGAATACATGTGGCCAGCGTGCGTACTCGTGCCTCCAGATGGACTCACATTTGAGCACCTCCTCGATGGGCACCCAGCCGGCGTCATCACATGACAGACTCTGTTGTTCTGATACCTTCCCCACGTTGTGCCGCAGGATCCTGTTTAGTGATGAACTCACCTTGTCCTCGTAGGCATTGAGCCGGTTGCCAGTCTCGAAGCGGTAGTTGGCCGCATATTCTACACCTCCAAAGTAAGAGCAGTTGAAGAAATGGGCCCCCGTAGTCGGGATGATTTTCAAGAAACCATCTTGCGGCCCCTCGACTCTCTTGTAGAAGGGCTTCCTGATGTTGTTATCAGAGTAGCTTGCCATGAAGTCTGGCACTGACCAAGAGTCACCTCCTCCTCTGACAATAGCGTCTCTGACCACTTCGTTGAGGTCAACAATGTTCTGTGGTCCTAGCTTTGTAACATCACGTCCTTCTATGCAGAATCTACCATACTCATCGAGGTCACCAACTTCAGACATAGTTCTGATGCTGTCGTACCATTGGTGTTCACTAAACCTCGATTTTGTAGGTTCATCCGTTTGCCCCGACCCATCAGTAGCACCTGAACCGTCCTTCTTGTGCTCAGGAGGCTCCATATCGACGTCATCAGATGTTGGACTATCAGCCTCGAGCGACGCTCGGACGGCCTTTAGCACCTTTCTGACTTCATCCCTCTTCTCATGTTCACATTCAAGATGGCCATGTTGGGTGCTACCACAATACAAGCACACGTTGACATCCTCAGAGACGGTAAAGAGTTTCCCCAACGCATCCAAAAGTTGTTGTTTCCCGGAATTCTCTGAGTCCCTGACCACATCGGTGGGGTCGTTCGCTGGCTCATCAGCTTCCTCCTCCCCAGGGTGAGCCGACGACTCGTCACCTGGCTTGGCATCGGCATCAGTGCCCATACTGGCGTCACCCCCTGTGATGTTGTTCTTCCTGCGATAATGAGAGAATACCTGATCCTTCTCCCAGTCCGTGAGGCAGCAGAAATTGGCCAGCGAGTCATATCCGGGGATTGCGTGGATGAGCTTCATGACCCTTTCGGCTTCTGCAGTTTGCAGTGTGCAGTCGAAGGATCCCCGTCTCTTGTCATTGATGGTGCTCGAGGTTCGGGAGGTCGATGTGAATTGAGCCAGTGCCTTTTCCAGTCCATTGAGATACTCAGCTGGATCAACGCTAGCATTGAAAACATCCACGACTCCCTTGGCCATATTGGCCACGTCCAAGACACCAAGCCAGAACTCGATGATATCTCCAGTTTTCTCGGCAGATGCACGGGAGAATCCAAAAATCTCGTTCCTCTCCTTCACCTCGGGAACGGCAACCTTTTCGAAGAAGTCTTTGTATGCGACATTTCCGCAATCCTTTGTGACTCTATAGATCAAAAGCCACTTCTTTGCAACATCATCGAAAACTCTTTCGCGATATATGCTGAATTGCTTGCCGCGTCCGTTCCGGAAAATTTCCAGAGCTTGCCTCTTCGAAATTCTGACTCCTCCCATGTGAGATAGAGATTTCATCAAGTGCTCCCCATACGCCAACGATGCATTTGAAATCAACGAAGACGCAGTAA